GGCGGGGGGGTTGGTATTTACATTTTCAAGTGTTACAGGAATAAAAATTATTTACAAAATTAAACCTTTTTTGAACATTTTTGAAATTCCACAAAACAGACTGCAAAGGTTATAAACACGGTAACAGATTGCTCTTTGCAGTTTCCGTAATTCGCAGGATGTTCCCCATGACGCTGGCGGTACCTTCAGATAGCACTGGTAGGTGTTCCAGATCCACGGCTCCTTGCGGTTGCACTGTGCCATCATGGCCATGGTGACCACACCGAGGGCGGGGTTCATGTACGTGTACTCCGCGTCCACCAAGACCCGCACTTGTTTCTGTACGGCATGCTGGGAAAGAGAACAGGAGATGGGCGGATGATAATATTTGGGCCCAGAGTGATCCTGGAGAACAACTCACTCACAATGCACAAGTGTCATTTAGGAATAATATTAGAGGGTACCAATATTACATAAATAATAACAATATAGAGGTATGGCACCGACCTTCCCAACCCGGCTCAGCCTGCGGACAGAACTCTGTAGGTGCTGGTTCTGCTGCTCCGACAGAAAGGAGAACCTGGCGTCCTGCAGCAAAGATGGAAAATGGGAGAGTTTGGTTGTAGCAGAGATAACGTCCACCATGTGTGCTATTCCCCTCCGGGACACTCACCTTCCCCTCCATGATGGACACTATCCTGTGTGGACTGAGCTCCTTCCTCCGAGACGGATCAGACAAACACATGGACAGAACTTTCTGAACAAAGCAGGGAAGGGAGAAAAGAATGGCGCAATTAGAGACATTCCCTATACCTGTATGTAGAAATTCAAGTGTACCCGTCCTACACCAAGCAAAGTATGAAGACACAACAGGTGTGGGCAGGGCCTGATTTCCCACAGGGCCAACCAAGGCCCGGCCTTGGGGCAGCATGGAGTAGAGGGGCAGCAGGGGTGCGGAATTCCTATCTCCTGATGCCCGGGACATGCAGTTCTGGGCACCGGGCGGTTAGTTGTTTCTACAGTTAGCCCTGCTTTGGGCAAGCAGGCCTAAATGTACAGCCTGGAAGCCGCCGCTTGTTATGTACAAGTGATCCCGGCAATGTCGCCGAGATCACTTGTATGCAGCCTGCAGGTCTGCCATTCTCCATGGGAAGGGGGGGGTTTGGCGGTTAGGGGAAGCGCATTGAGGAACCTGGACCTGGGGCAGCAGAGAGAGTAAATCCAGCCCTGGTTGTGGCTGAGAAAGTCCAATCACTTTATTGATTTCTAATGATCACATAAAACAACCAATGTGTTTCCAGGGCCGACACTCCCCCTTCATCAGGGGACAAAATAAATATAAAAAAGAATATAAACTCAAACACATAGCGGTCCATTTATCAACAATCACAGAGCCATTCACGCTGTGAATGTTCGTTCTGCATGAATAGAGGGGAAAAAATAAAAATGTTTTTGGTGTATTTTCTTTTCAGGTCAAATATAATGTAATGTAGTTCTCCATTATGGCCACTAGAGGGAGCTGGCCACTAGATGGAGCTGAGGAGCATAGGAAATATGTATTATAATTATGGCCACTAGAGGGAGCTAAAATGTGTTTCTTTCCTATGTTCTTCAGCTCCATCTTGTGGCCATAATACAGTATTACATCACAATACTTTCCATCTGAAAATAAAATATACAAAAAACATTAGTTTTTGCCTCTATTCACACAATACGAAGATTCACAGGGCCTGAAACAAATGTTTTTTTTAGTTACTCTGCATGTGCAGTAAGTAAACGTGATGCTGAGACCCCGGGACATGGCCCAGAACACAGCATTGGTGGAACAGAAGGCCAAGATGCTGGAATGTCCCAGAAGATTCGGGACTGCTGGCATCTAAGAAACAGCACTGAGGGGCAGAATTTTTTTAAGCATCCCTAAGGGCCCTTTTGGAGTCTGGGGCCCTGAGAAGCACACCATTTTGCCCCATTATGATCCACCATTGGCCCGTTATGTTCCCAGTTTAGGCTTTCCATTATTCCTTCCTTCCTGTTTAACCTTCTCAGTCTCTCACTCACGCACAGATCAGCACTCATGAGCGCCGTGATCTTCAGCTGCATCATGGGACGATCGCCCCCCAAGGATGACAGATCCACGCAGTTCATCATGATGGCTTCGTTCTGCTCGTACCATCGCTCCCTGCCAGAGAGAATACATGAGACCAATATACTCAGTGAGCAAGCAGAGGACATTTGCATACCATAGCGAGCAATGTATTTATTACAGGCACTATAGCTAGAGCGCAGTACTGCTTGTCAGCAGGAGGTGGCAGCAGTGCATGCGGGGCAATGCCAGGCAGATTCTACATCGGAAGCAACAGCGCCCTCTACAGGAGATTAACATCTGAGCACAACAAATACACACATTTTGCCGGGGGAAATGGTTAATGTGCATATAGCTGTTCGCTTGGCGTTCACCTTCCATGAAGTTGCTGCTTACCCAGCTTTGCCCTCTCCCAGGTCCTCCTCAATTGGCACAGCCAGCATGGGCCGAATGCCCAATTTCCTCAGCCTCTCCATGGACGCCTGAATCTCCGGAAGGGACTCCCCGGCAACAAACTGCCCGTACACGGTGCCCCTCATACCCCATTCGAAGAGGCGGCGGCCCAGGAGCCTGCGGGAGACTGCCATGAGCTGGAGGGGGTAAAAGGGGCGTCAGTCATAAGGTACAATTTCCAACAGCTGCTCAAATGACAGTTCCGTTCTGTAGTATAACAATATATATAAAACAGCAAATTAAAGTTATAAATTATGTAAAAGTTTCAGATGTTTTTACGCAATTAAATATCATTATATTCTGATACAGGGGATGGATTGGGGGGGGTTTGCTACTATGAGCTGCTGTCCTGCATGAAGCTGCCACTTTAAGAAACTTCATGTTGCCTTTATGAAACCTCCTCTAGGCCCACAATGGCTGATTGGATAGAATAATGCTTCACATGATATGTAGATATTATACATCATCCAACGGGGGCTTATAATCCAGTAAATGTGGGTGAGCCCTTTCCAGCCTCAACTGGCTGACAACGCAGCTAAATAAACTGAATTGCAGATTTAAAGTTGCCGCGATGATCTAAAAAGCTTTACCTATTTCTTCCCGGAAAGGCGACTTACCTTCTCGGAATTCTTCACCAGGCTGGGGAAGGAGCACATCCGGAATATGAGAAGCCCCCTCACCACCTCCCAGTGGCTCTTCAGCCTGAAGACCCTTCCATCGGAAAAGTTCAGCGCCGAGTCAGCACCGTGAGCTGACGTTCTGTGACAGGACCGTCCCGTGCAGGACAACGACGGACCCCATGATGAAGGGGGGGCCACCAGGGAAGACCTGAGATTCAAAGACCGGACGAGACTCCACATGGTTGGACCTGACCTGCACCTGACTATGGGATAGATAGAGGAGTCAGAAGGGAAAGAGGGGGGGGCGGTCCAGTGGCCAATGGCAGCTGGAAACTCCCAGGACAGAAGGGCACGGGAAGGCGGCAGCTGGTGGATGTGTAAATAGGTGGCTGACCTCCCAGCCGTGACAGGTTAACCGAGACCAGCAGAAGGTACAATCCAACATCTGCAATGTGTACAGAAACATCAACGTCTACAAATAATCATTTTACACCAAGTTTACTTCCGCTGAGGAAGCGAGGGGCTTTGTAGAGGAAGTGGAACTACAAGTCTTAGCAAGTCCTGCCATATGGCATGGTATCATTGCCTTGTGGACCATATACATAGGCATTGAAGGGCATCTGACACCTCGGAACACCAGGTACGCTACACATCTGATGACCCCCTAATATTGAGTAGGTCCCCCTTTTCCTGAGGCATGGACTCCACTAGACCTCTGAAGGTATGCTGTGGTATCTGATGACCCCCTAATATTGAGTAGGTCCCCCTTTTCCTGGCCCATTGAGGCATGGACTCCACTAGACCTCTGAAGGTATGCTGTGGTATCTGATGACCCCCTAATATTAGGTCCCCCTTTTCTTGACCCATTGAGGCATGGACTCCACTAGATCTCTGAAGGTATGCTGTGGTATCTGCTGACCCCCTAATATTAAGTCCCCCTTTTCCTGACCCGTTAAGGCATGGACTTCACTACACCTCTGAAGGTGTGCTGTGGTATCTGCCACCAAGCCATCAGTAGAAGATCCTTTAAGTCCTGATGGTTGTGAGGTGATCGGCCTCCATGAATTTGTTTTTCCAGCACATCCCACAAATGATCGATGGGACTGAGATCTGGAGAATTTGGAGGCCAAGTCATCACCTCAGACTCGTTGTTGTGTTCCTCAAACCATTCTTGGACCATTTTTTGCTGAAAGAGGCCACTGCCATCAGGGAATACCGTTTCCATGAAGGGGTGTACTTGGTCAATACATTTTTTTTAGGTCGTAGTACGTAGCAAAGTGAAATCCACATGAATGGCTGGGCCGAGGTTTCCCAGCAGAACATTGCCCGAAGCATCACACCGCCTCCTCCAGGTTGCCTATCTCTCAGTGGTTATAATGTTATGGCTGATACGTGTATATGTATGACTCCAATTATCCCCAGTCAAGGAGAATCAAGCAGAAGAAAACCCAATTTATCTTTTTTGAAACTTTCACCCCGTCTACCGTGAATGATATTTATGTGAAGTATTCTGTGACAACGATTTAATTTATGTGTAGGCTCCTCTAATAAATTTGTGTGTTTTACCTTTAGTGACCCATGGAACCCTCCCCCCCCCCCCCCCCCCCCCCCAGACCCCCCCACCACACAACAAACA